ATGAAGCCCAGCCCTGGGGTTTACACCACACTGCTTGCTCCGCTTGTGCGATTTACCACGATGCAGGCAAACGGCGCCTCCTGCAGTGCTTCCCGGCGGCACACTGGCCTCCTCCTGCAGTGCTTCCCGGCGGCACGCTGGCCTCCTCCTGCAGTGCTTCCCGGCGGCACGCTGGCCTCCTCCTGCAGTGCTTCCCGCCGGCACGTTGGCCTCCTCTTGCAGTGCTTCCCGGCGGCACGCTGGCCTCCTCCTGCAGTGCTTCCCGGCGGCACATTGGCCTCCTCCTGAAGCACGCCGCTAAACTGCATAGCCTCCAGCACTAAATTACCTGATAGGAGCTGCACGTCCACAGATCTGACAGCTTTTCACGCTGAGAGCAAGTTTCCCGAGAGCTGCAAGGAAACCCACGCGGCACAATTCAGGGCCAGTGCCCCGTCCTCACACACGGCAGCTCTGTCAGGAACAAGCCCCCCCCAGCAGTGGAAGCCATTTTGGAAGGATGTTGCTCTTTCCGAGCTTCAGCAATTTGTTTTCAGATCCCTTAGTGGACATCACAGGGCTAAAGAGCTCTCGTCCCTGGGCGACGCTCCGGTGTGACGGATTTCACTAGGACATACAGGGATTTATTGGTGATACAGAGACTGCAGCTGTCTGTGTTGTGGGCTTGGGGTTTATTTCAAAACAACATGCAAAGTGAGACAGACAGCACCACTGGTCACATGGTTCGTTTCCGTCATTCACTTATATTTGTCATTCGCTAAAAACAGCTAATCCTCAAAGGTCAGCTTTTAATGTTCAAAATGTTTGTTTTGTGAAACTGCAGGGAATATCCAGTGGTCGGTCTTCTGTTTGGGTTTCTCTCTAAGTCCCACTCTTCAATTTACATTTGCCCACTGTGGCTTAATAAAAATTAATGAAAAATGTATTAGTTACACCAAGATAAATTCCTTGTACTTGAGCTGTATATGGCGAATAAAGTTGATTCTGATTTTGATTGTTCATATATTCGTTTTAACAAACAAACCATGAAAATACTGGTTAATACTGCAACAGGAAATTTAAATGGGTTGTTCTTGTAGAAGAATAGAGGGTAAAGAAACATAAGGTAAGATCGTCTCTGGTCGGCACAATAAACAGAACTGCATAGGGAAGCGTCAGTGAGCACTGGGTTTATTTGCAATAGTGTTTGCAGAGGATGTTGGATGAGGTTCAGCACAGACAGAAGTATCAAAGCGACGTGGGCCACCTACGTTAGTTAGCAAAGAAATTAACAGATGAAACAAGGGGGAAAATTTCAAAAGGTGACAGGAGGCTGATAGCCAGTTATGGTGTGAAAACAAACCCATTGATTTTCCAGTTTTCAAAAACGTAGGTTCAGATTAAACAAATTACTTGCTCATTTTTTTTAACTCTTCTTTAAGAAACTCCCCCTCCCCAAGCTCTTTTAGAATTTAGTGATCAGTGTTGACACACCACAACAAAATGCATCCTCTGCATTTAACCCATAGGTGACATAGCAGGTGACAGCTAATTCAGCACCTGGGGAGCAATGCTTTGGTTGGGGAGTGGGGGGGGGGCGACTTCGTTGGTCAGGGGTTCAAACCAGCAATCTTTCAATTACAAGTGTGCTTCCCAAGCCATTAGACCACCGCTGCCCACTCTGATGTCACCTTTTGGAGAAAACAGTAACTTTGCAATTATTTTAAATTAAATCCCAAGTTTCCTCGTTCTACTTTCCTTATCTTGAAATCATCCTTCAGACATTTTTCATCTATAGGATTGTCAATGTTTTATGCCTCGTCCCTGACTCCTTTCATGCAAAAAGCAGTGCTTTAGTTCTCTCGGTTTTCTGGGAAGAATAAAGCAGAGTCTGACCCAAGGGCACAAAGTACAGCAGGCTGATTAGTGTTTTTGCTGAAGCGCACCTTAGACTTTGATATCTTTTCATGGCACAGGTCCCAGGAAAAGTCACTCTCATCCTACGACCCGTGTGAAAGTTATTCCTTCCAGTGAGCCATGGAACAGCTCGGTCAAGGCGGTGGTATTGGGGGGGAGGGGGGCGGAGGTTCTTCACCACATGCCCAGTGTCACAGAAGGTGCCAGGACTTGCTGTATTCGCACTGGTTCACAGTCGACGACTTCAGCTCTACACAGGCCACCATGACAGGAGGTCCTCGCTCAGGTTAACCGTATGCAGAATTATTATGCGCAAAAGTGCGCCTGGGCTAGAGAGATACTCACCTTGAGCCTACCAACTCCAGGCAGCCCCTTCATATATACCTGCCTTCCCCAGGGCACCTAGTAACCTGCAGTGTCTCTTGGGAGCGCGAGATCTCAGCAGGCTTCTCCACAACTGGGCAAATCCAGCACTGGCCGCAGTGTAAAGTCCCTTTCTTTGGGTGAAGGCTGAGTAGCATCATGGTAAAAAGCTGCTGCTTCTCCAAAGGCTTGGGGCAAAGGGCCATCTATCGTCTATCCTTTCTATCATCTATCCTTTCTATCATCTATCCTTTCTATCGTCTATCCTTTCTATCATCTATCCTACCTTGTGGCCAGTGTCAGAGTACCAGGGGAAAAAGAAATCACAGCAATGTTTCCTCAGAACTCTGCTCCGTCCACTTCTGAGTTCCTGTGATCATTCTGAGCCAGGATATTGAAATAGGAGACCAAAATATGCCTGTAATTTCATATCTTTTTAGCGACAGAATATGACACTAAACTGCCTCTCATCAGTGAGATTTGGGCATGGCTACTGTCAACAGAAAACACAGAAATACTAACCAAAAAATACTTAAATTACAATGTTTGTGTTTTAAGACCTAACTAATAAAATCAACAGACATCCAACATGGTCTTATCTGAACAAACCAGTACTTCCAGTCAAATATAAAGGGATAGAGCAGCCCATGAATAAAAAGAGACCAAATCTACCTTAAATAATATTTTAAATCACATTCTTAACAACTTTATCAAGAAAGACATTCGACACCAAGCTGGGTCATGAGTGTGTATACAGTGAGTATAGTGTGACTCCTGCTACTGCATTGATTTACTATCTGTAGAATAAAGTCGGCAGGATTTGCATTGTTTGATTCTGGGACTTAAACAGCATTTTTTAACAGTGTCCCTGACTGTGAATTTCTGTACTTGATAGATACAAACCAAAATACCTCTGCTTTGAATTTAGCATTCATTTTTCCTGATCTTTGTCTAATTTTGGCAATTTTTTTACAAGATAAATTATTTAAGAACAATATGACTACTCTGCAAAATATAAAATGCAGTGGTTTATGTTATTTTCATTAAAATATTTCAGAGAAATCACCTAGATTTTACAAATCATGGATTGTTTCATCAATGCAATGCAACAGAGTTCTTGAATCACTCACACCATGGCTTGAAATATGGTACAAATACGCCTTGTGTTTATGAAGGGTGTTTATCGGCCTTCCAGCAGCGTCTCAGCAGTATCTGTGCATGCGATGAGCCCGTGGACATCAGACAGAGCTCTCTGACTCACTGCTGGGAAGTGACTCTTACCGCCTGGCGGGGGCAAGTGTGAAGAGCCAGAATGTGACCCCCTTTCCCTGCACCACCTGTTCCATCACCTTTCCACCTGCTTCCCGTGAATGCACTCTGTGCCCTGCACTGTCCCCCTTCACCTCAGAGCCAAAGGTGCACTGCAACTGGCCAAAGAAGCTCATAAATAATGTATCGCACAAAGGAGGGGCCTTCCAAGTTTAGGAAGAGTCAATCAGATATGTTTGGCCTTTTATTTTGAGGAAATATATATTTTCTGAGTGGAAGCATGATGGTTAGAAGTGTGACCTACCGGGTGGAGCTTCAGGTCCATCCCCTGGACTCTCTGGTTTCCCTCCTTCAGTCCAAAAACATGCAGCCGGCTGAACTGGTGTCTTCAAATTGCCCTCTGCAGTGCGAGTACATTTGCCTGATGCCCTTGTGCTGTGTAACAGACCCATGCCCCCCAACATTGTGCTGGATAAATGATCAGTGTATGAACCAACATAGGTGGAAAGTTCAGGTCCAGAAAGTACAAATACAGACCAAGATCTTGTTTCATCCATCCAGTTGAGTATAAAGAGTCTCGTATTTACAAAATCCTGGTCCGGATTAGTACTTTCTGGACCTGAGCTTTCCACAACTGGATATTTTGGTTACTAAAATAAACTGTATAATCATTAGCATATGTAATGCACATTACATACTGAGATACACTAATATATGTACTGAAGTGTTAAGATTTCTAAAATAGAGTAATAAAAATAATGCCCCTTCCAATCATTTCAAGACCTGCAGACCTTCTCTAGAACCTTAAAGTGACACACTTAAGCTAAATTATTCCAGTAAATGATTTCTTTGGATTGGAGTTGCTCTTCTGTGGATTGTTCCTGGTTCAGTCCATTGTATTTTTATTCATATCATTTAGCATGGGAGGGTCCCTCGGCAGCCTGAAAACGGCACTTGTCAAATTAACAGCGGTGATTCAGATGCTGCCACAGCACATGTACGGCGGAGCACAGTTAAAAGGTCAATGATTTCAAATGAATCAATCAGTGAACTACAACTTAATAGTTTAGTGATGCCCTTATATGAGCTCATGAGCTCAGTCGTAAATTCTGGATATTGCCTGCTGAAGGTCAAGATTTTTTATTTGATTGTTCTTGTATAATAGACTCACTAGTACATTTTTATTTCCATATGCAGCAAAAAATAAATAAATTAATTAATTAATTAACGAGAAGAACCATTTTTCTTATATGACAGGCGTCAAGCAGTGACAGGTATCTAGGTTGTACATGGGAAACAGGCTCTTTACCATAAATGATTTCAGGTCCATCCCCCTACTCATAACACATGCACGCGTCGTTTAGGTCATTTCCTCCTCATAATCAGAAAGAAGTTATTTTTGATTCATGTCAATTAATAACAGTGTAATCATCACCACGCTCAGCAGAAAAGCAGTAGCAAGCCTAATATCAATGCCAAGCCACGTGGGCCGGGATCTCCTCCCAGGTAAGCCACTCCGCGGGGGACAGATCGAAGACAGTGGTGGCACGTACGAGTCATGTGGCCTTTCTGATCTCATCAACACACTTGTGACAGGTCCTGGTCAATTCATCATCCCCATTACTCTGGGAGCACATCCAGCCGTGTCCCTGGGGGCTCCAACGAACCATTCCCAGAATGCCTTTGATCTCCTTCCAGAGCTTATTCAGCTTCTAGGGGCAGCGCAGTCTGCCGTGTTCTCCATCACTGTCACACGGCGTCCATCCCGTGAAAGGTGTGACCTGCCGGCTGCTCACGCAGCAAAAAAGCCACGATACTCATTCTGCCGTTGCCTTAATGCAAAGGTCCGATCTAACCACACCAATTAACATAAAAAACAGCAGATGTTGCCGTAGCTGCTGTTTTCATTAAACATTTATTCCTCACACCACTACAGTTGTGCGCTGAACCCAATCGTCTGGGGGCACCTAGTTTCTTTCAATGAAATTATGTTAATAGCATTATTTTCTTTATGTTATCATCCTTCAGACATATTTCTCTTATGTTACCTGTTATGCTACTATTGTGTTTTGTTTTTTTTTGCGAAAAACCTGTACGTCATACTCATTTAAATATTCAGTAACACTTTACTTCAAGCTCTCATCTCTAATGCATTATAGATACCTTTATAATGCATTATAATGGTTGGTAGAGGCATTAAGTATGCTTTGTACTGCATTATGAAGGTATCTATAATGGGTTATGCCTTTTTATAAATATTTATAACCATGTTTGTAATGCTTTATAAAGTTTTATGAATGTGTTCATAGATTCTTATAGACACGGCAATCATAAAAAGTGTTACCAAATTGAATTTATTTTATTACCCTACAACTTTCTTCATGTCTTTAGGCTTTGCATTCATTCCTTTGGATGTGAATAATCCAGTACATTCATTTACCTCAAGGTCTGGTTCTTTCCCAATATATTTTTAAATAAGTGTCACCAAGGAGCTACACATAGGTTTTCTGCTGGAAATGCTACTTTACATTTTCCCCGGAGGAATCCTCATTCTCCATCTGCCTTCTCGCCTTTGAAGAATTAAAAAAAAAATGCTTGGTTTAGCTTAAATCTAGCTTTCAATCTAACTTGTTACACCAAAGGTTAATGGAAAATTGAACTGGTGAGGAAGAAGATTTTAAGATTCATTGCCTCCTATACATATAGAAATGGTACAATTTTGTCCAGGCTGTAAAAAGGGAGAGAATAAGTACCATAAGCTGTCTCACAGACATTGTTATGTGAGATTACCGTTATGCTTCACTGACTATCACCTAAAATCAAATGTTGATGACAACACCAGCATATTTCATTAGTCATATTCCCTCCAAGCGAGCTTGATGGGCCAAATGGCCTCCTCTCATCCTTAACTTTCTTTTTCTCTTATGTTCTTATCTTAATAACATCAATAAAGTCATAATTACTACTACTAATAATAATAACACCTGTGGCCATGCTGCAGCCTGATTTTGGTCGGCTCTTCTTCGGCTTTCGCGCTCTTCCCCAAACTGAGCCCGAGAACAGCCCTCGCCAAAGCCAAACATCCATCGCCCACCTTTACTTGCTTCCTTTCTTTGCAAAGCCATCGTCACCCATGATTTCCCAGCCTGCCTTGTTTAACATATTCTGTCCTTGACCAAACTTTGGCATTTGTATGCAGAGGCACATTATTTAGGACACAGTGCCACATCAATCCAGAAAAACTCTTCATGTATAGATATATTGACATCCCGCCAGACCACTATATAAAGCTGCCTCCTTCAAATTGGAAAACACTGGAGAGAAAACTTCATTATGAAAAGGGGAGAAATGGCTAGAGAGGAAAGGATAGCGTATCAGTGAGACAAATGATAAGATAGATCTTATCTGACAGCATAGTGGTCCCTATCAAATGTAATTAGGTTTTTAATGAATGAATATTGACTGAGAAGGTGCCCTACCTTGCTTCTGTGCAAGAAGGAGGATCCAAAATGGCAGGACTACTGCATCGGCAGACACAAGCAGTGAAGCTAAGAAAATGGTAGCAATTGGCTTAAGATAATGCATTTAACAGTGTTATCTTTAAATATATTTGGAATCACAACTTCAAAGTACAGGGGTTTTCCTGTATGATCCATGTTTAACTGGCACAAAAGTATTGCTATTAAATACACTAACCAAGGGCATAACTTCAGATTGGACATTGTGGGGGTTGAGGGATCCACCCATTTAAGGGGGTACAGTGGGTTGTATCGGCTAGTTTATTGGGATGGTTACAACACTCCCCCCCCCCATTCCCTCCCATAATTTACGCCCATGACACTAACATACACAGACACCCATTTTGATATAGTAAGGGTGGTTCTTAGGAACTCCTCTCATCTACAAAGATGTCATTGACATTAGAATATATGTGTGCAAATCTATAGACCGTGGAAAGAACATAGAGAACCATGGAGGAAGAAGAAATGGTTTAGAATGCAACAACTATATTTGGATTATTGGCAACACAGGAGAAAATATACTCAATCATTCAAGCCAACATTATTCAGGCTCTTTGAAGCACATTCAGCCATGAAATCCAGGCATATGTAAGGTATCCGTGGGTGCTACCATCCTCCATTGTTTTTAAGAATCTTACCTTTTGCATGGCATCCTGGATGATTTAATACTGAAGGATGATACTCACAGCAATCCATGAGCAAAGCCAGAGATTACATGACACAACATAAACAGTCAAAGCAGAGTCCAGTGCTGACACCAATCAATGTAGACCGCAGTGCAGAAGCTGCTCAAGTGTGATTATGGTCCAGCTTTTGGTTTATATGTCTTTCAGCGTTAAAGATGGTCAGGAGGGTGTGAGAAAAGTGAAGCTGAAGTGTAGCATTTCATGCATGTTTCAGGCTGTTGCTTCAATGTTGCATTACATTATAACACGGATTCCTGAGTCACTTCAGCACAAATTACCCATTCTGCTTTGTAGTCATCCTCAGAAAGGCTATGAGAATAATCATATTTTTAAAACACATCAAAACTCAGCACTTTTATAACAGTATATTTAGTAATATATGGCATTTTCAAACAACTTGTGTTCTTTTTGTTGATATGCAGTTAGTAATTAAGCATTAAGCAACAAATGGAAGACTTCAGTGGTACAACTTTCCAGTGATTGTTGTTTTGTAAGTGCACCACTAAGCCATTGAATCTTTCAGTTTTTTATAAACATCAGAAACATCTTTATCTCCTTGTATTTCTTGTCCATGGGCAAAAAAATGAGTCAAAATAAATTGAGCTGTTTCATTAAAAGCGTAATTGGAAAATGTTCCTCCACCTCCAAACACCTCTATAATTTAAAACTCTGAATTTAATTTTCCACATTTGAGATTATTACATGCATAAATGACTAAATGAAAACGGCAATCAGAGTTGGCTGTGTGAGTTATTTCAGTAGCTCAGGGATATTGTAATATTCACTTATCTCCATTAATCTACCCTCATGAAAAATGTATAGTTTTCTCTTCTTTCAATATTTTTATTGAGAAAAATATAGTTTTTATATGATAAAAATAGGAAACACTTTTGCTCCATGACAAGTAATGCATTATTAAATATCGAGGAGTAAATTTTAATGCTTGCAAAATTAAATTGCTAAAAGATATTAAGAGTTATAATGTAAATTCCATTGGAATATACTGTCCAAGGATATTTGTTTAAGGACAAATTAGCAATAAAGCAGCCCAGACAAACACTTTTATTAAATCCTCACATACTTATCAAAGTGTAATTATCAATGGCAATTACTGTACATCTAGATTTAACATGCAATTAAAACAGAAGACAGGCATAAGGAGTCATTGGTTAATTTATAGAATTGTTTTAATATTTTGATAATGCTGACTCATACTCTTTACTGTTAGAGTGGTTTGTACTGTGTGTATACTACTGTGTATTAATAAACCTGTCATTAATGCAAAGAGATTGAGTGATGCAGTGTTAATCCAGGAGCCTAGGCATTAACCACCATTATTATAATTATTTTAAAAGTTAACCATAGCCTAGGTGTGTAATAATAAATTCCATCTAGGTTTCTGTAACCTCACTTTTTGGTATTTGCACAATAATGAAATTGCCTAACAAAGCATTTTTTAGAACATATCCTGTTGTTATGTGATGTGTAACTGCATTGCTGTTGTCATTATTTGATGGCAGCTTTTTATAAGAAAGTCTAGATTTTCATCACATTAAAGAATAAATTAAAGAAATTCTGAGTGGTTGCTGCAAAGTTTGTTAATAGCATTCAAATCACGTCAAAGCATAAAGCCAAATAATTTTCTACAACACAGCTTACAATCAAAATCAGTGAATGAATTGTGAAATTAGATGTATAAAGTCAAAAATAATAATACTAAATGTACAGCTCTGGAAAAAAATTAATAGACCGCTCCATATGTTTTAAGAATATGCATTATAAATCTTGGTTTAGTCCTGGCCTGGTTCTGCTAGCAGAAGGCTACACTGTAAGGTGGGCTCAAAACACAAAAACAATATGAAGTAGGAGACACTGGCAATAACCAAAAACCAGCCAGATAGAGGGCAAAACCAACTTTCTAATGCCAGAGATGGCCGTCAACATATCCAGCAGTGCCTCATGAAGTAGAGGATGAAATCAAGTGACCTTCAAAAAGGAACAGGAAACATTAAGTTGTGTGAAGTGCACTGCTAGGACAGTTCGTAACAGGCTCTTCGAAGTAGCACTGGAGTCCCCTAAAGCAAGGAAGAAGCCCTTCATCAATTAGAAACAGAGAAGAGCCAGGTTTACAAAAAAATATCTTTTACACAGAAGCGTACCAATACATAGAGGGATGAGTGGAATTAAAAATGTTGCTGTGGTCTCTTATTTTTTTCCAGAGCTGTATGAATAACTCTCCTAGTTGCAAATTATGTTTTTTACTACAGTATCTCCCATTCCTACAAATGAAGTATGTGCCGTAGTAGGCCTTAGCTAGAGATCCTTCCGTGCTGGTTTTGGCAGGACGATGCAACCTCAATCCGTCCTGGTGAGTGGCTGCTCAATGTCTTCAATGGACCTTCCTTTACAAAAGCTCTGGCATCACTTTCAAAGCCTCACACATCTATAGCACTTTTTCATTGTAATGTATCATGCCTTCATGATCACTGCATAAACATGTATAAATCAGGAATACCATTGGGAGCACGTAAATAGGGCCTGTCATAGAAAACCGGGATAA